TATTTGATTGGCATCAATCAAATTGGTATAAATGTATTATTTCTAACGCCAGTAAATTGAGCTCATATTTTGGTAATCCACCCATATTTCAATGGGTTAGGTGAGTATTTTTTTTACATGAATAAATATGGGTTTAAACCCATATTCAACCCATAAAAATATGGGTAAAATATGAATAAACTATGGGTAAAATATAGACTAGCCAAATGGGTTAAGCTTTCAACTTTTATTCACTCAAAATTCATGATATCACTAAAAAATTTGTAATTTCTCTTTCTTTTATTCACTCAACATATTAAATGTATATTTCTATTTTTTAATTATAATTTTTTTATTTGTTTAATTTTATATTGGATAACAAATAATAGTGTAAAGTAAGTTAACCATGTATTAGTATTGATATTGCTTTGCATTAAGCATGTTTTACTCCTAAAATGCAAATATTCATTTACTTTGAAACTAAAAATATTTTTCCCTTCTTTGTTTATTATGATTCCCGTATGGTTTTGAGTTCTAAGCTTTTGACAACACCATTGTGTGTGTCGACCCCAATGGGTGAGTCTTTAGTAGTGGATGAGGTGTTTCGATCTTGTTTGGTGACTATCCAACTAGGGGCATGAAACCCCGGTTGACCTTATTACATAAATTTATTTATATTGAAAAGTTGAGGATTTTTTTGAGCAACTTTCATATATAGCAAACATAAAAATTATATTTGTATGTTATAACTATAATTTTTATAATTGCGCTCCATAACAAACTTTATGTTTGCTATGGAGCATCAGATTGTATAACTCACTGGCAGGAGCTTCAGATTTGTATAATTTCGCTGGCAGGCCATTTGTATAAATCGTTGGCAGCCTCTCGTTTGTATAAATCGATGTCAGCCTCTCAATTCAATTTTATGTGTTTGTATATCTACATAAAATTTGAATTTGTATACAATTGAATCAATAACATATTTGTATATCAAATCTCTCTCTCTCTCTCGCTTTATACAACACAAATTATACATTGTAATTTGTATAATCTGTGTTTGTATAAAGCGAGAAAGAGAGAAAGGCAAAAGAGAACTGGGCAGGGAAAGATCTGTATTTGTATAATTATAAGTGTATAGGACGAAAATATATGTTTTCGTATTTATATATACAGTTTTCTCTCGCTTTATACAAACACATTTTATACATTTGTGTTTGTATAAAAGCGAGAGAGGCGAGGGAGAGACTGGCGAACGAGAAACCTAGGGAGAGAGGTGAATGGCAACTGTTTGCTACGGGTTACAATTAAATCAAACTGTGGTTATAGCATTTAATTTGAATTAATAGTTTGCTATTTTATACTATTTTTCCTTCTTCTTTTTTTACCTCTATGATACAATAAAACTAAATAAAGTATTTTCACCACTTTTCATCCAAAAAAAAAGAAAATTTTTCAAAACAACAATATTTTAACATTTAATAGGACCACATAGCCACACTTAAAATATTTATTGAAAATGTCAATATTTTAGTTCGTTGTATTGTTGATTTATGTATTTTTTTATTTGTTTAATTTGAAAAACTACAATTAGTTAATAACATAATTGAGAAAATCAGGGGAGAGAATATTTCAAATAATGTAAAAATTACTGCAATTCCTCATTAGTTACGTTCCAAATAAGAATCAGCATGACTTCTCTCTCCCTTATTCCTCAAATTTCCAATATCGATTTTTAACACTCCATTGATAATAGTCAATCTATGTCAAATTGAAGTCGGTTGATTTGAGATTTTCGCTGGTAATGAAGAAGATATTAGAATAAATACAGAATAAAAAAGAAATATTGAACTTGTTGGCATACAAAGTGAGATTGAAATACAAAGTGAGCACAAAAATATAAAACTTGTTGGCATACATTTAGAATGAATAGTAAATAAAAAAGAAATACAAAACTTACTGGCGTACAAAGTGAGATTGAAAGAAAAACTAAGATTGAAATACAAAGTGAGCACAAAAAATATAAAACTTGTTGGTATACATTTAGAATGAATACAAAATAAAAAAGAAATACAAAACTTGTTGGCATACAAAGTGAAATTGAAATACAACGTGATGTTAAAATACAAAGTGAACACAAAAAATACAAAACTTGTTGGCATACAAAGTGAAATTGAAATACAACGTGACATTAAAATACAAAGTGAGCACAAAAAATACAAAACTTGTTGACATATAGTTAGAATGAATATAACTACAAAATTGTTGGCATATAGAACGGGTTGCTATCAATATTTATAGCAATATCTGAGCTAACTTGGCAGCCATGTCACATGGTGTCATTGGCTTTGCATGAGGATTCATATCCCTCTCTGTTTCAACAGACCTTTCTTGATTAACCACCCCACATGGTGCCATTGGCTTTGCAAGACTCTTCACCATTTTGCTGGTCTCTCATATTGACAGCAATAGGTGGTTAGAGTTTAAATTTCAATGGGTGTAAATCTTTTGAGGGATTCATAAGATTTGTGGAAGAAAAACAAGATGAATGTTGAAGAGAGATAATAGGGAGTCCAGTTAAAGAAGGAAAGATGGAGGTGAATTGAAGTGAGAAAATTTGGATAAAAAATGTGAGAGAGAATTACGGGTAATGGAGTCAAATTTAGCCAAAAGTGGGCCTCCGTTGAGAAATAATAGGAAGTGATATTAGGATACACTTTATTTGATATATAATTAACATATTGATATTTATAATAATTAGTTTAAACTGTAGTCATTTTTAATAAATATGTTAGGGATTTGGACTAGTTAACTAATTTTTCAAAAGGGAAAAAAAAAGACAAATATTTTCTCCATGTTGAATTCAAAAGTAGAGTATTGTTTACTTGTGAAAATATGGATAAATATAGGTAAACTTGTATTTACCCAATTCATATTTAATCATATAAAATATGAGTGAGTTGAATCATTACCCATTTTATGTTGACCCATTTTTAACCGGCCCAAATTTAATCCAATCCGCTCATGTGCCACCAATATTTCTACCTAATATTGTCAAGATTCTATTGGTTATATACTTGAAGGTTTTACATGAAATCCTTTCTTCAAACAATCTATTTGCAAATGAGGGTACTATCATATTATCAAATTCTACAAGGCAAACAATTATTGACACATATTCAAGTCTTGACAAAGATACTAGCAACTTATAAAGCAAGTGACTCAACACATAAGAGATGTGTGATTTTCTTTGAAGAGAAAATTTCAATATTAAATGACAATGTTGCTTAAATAACTCAAGTGAAAGAAGAATATATTGAAGGAAACAAAATAAACATATTTTGACGAAGTTCTTTTCAAGCACAGTGTTCAACATAATTTATACAAGATCATCTCTGAAATGTTAAATGATATTATCAAGGGAAGTAAATATGTGTTGCACTCTTCTTTCCTTGGTTAGATTTTGTCCCAATGAATTTTCCGAGCAAGGTTTTTAACAAGGCAGCAAACAATGCGCATTACGAGATATGTGTACTCTTGTTTCTTAACTAGATTTTTTCCCAGTAAGATTTTAATGAGGCATGTTATCGGACACTCAAGGGGGAGTTGTAAATATATTATATTTATATGGATATCCATAACTTCAGGGTGTAATTACACCATTATGTGTAGTAACTCCCCCACCTCCATAATCTTCCCCTTGATCTTCCTTCATAACTTTCATGGTAATGTCATGTTTATGACTAACCTTTTATATCTCTTTATATAATACTATAAATAGAGGCATTAGAGTTCATATTGGATATACTTGAAGATTTGGAGAACAATTGGAAGAATAAGAAAGCTCTCATCTCTTGTCTCCCTATTTCTATTGCTTTCATCTTCTATATTTCCTGTCTACTTTCTTGCTTATATTATTACTCTTTTGACTTAGTTTTACAACAGTACTGCAATTCAAAGGACAATGAATGCTGCTGCTTTCATATCATCTACTCATCTAATGTTCAGAAACTCTACTGATATATAGAGAGTCAACAAACAAAATCTCAAGTATGAGGATCTGCTCAAAAGGAGACGGGACTATTCTCCAGACATTGCAGCAGTACCGCTTTTGTGTACCATCACAAATGCAAGTCGTCTTGCACGAAAATCTCCCTTCTATCATGGATGATCTTTCTTCAGATTTGAAATCGTAAAAACTTTATAACATTGTAATGAAGGAGTAACACCCTTGGGATTAAAATACATAGAGATTCAGTCCTCTGCACAAACACAACATTCCATTCAATAGAAGCACCAAAACATATCCACATAAGCAGATTAATTCCTGTGCAAACATCAAACAGTACAGTATCAATTTGACTTTATTTGGTGTTTTGAGTATTTCTTTTAACCAAAAGCATCCTTATAGTTTCACTTCAACTCTAGTTACATTCTTATACTCCAATATTTCACTTAACAGGAAATATGCTTAAAGTTTTCATAAACTAATCCAAAAACATCCCTCTGAATATTTCATCCATTTTTAAGGGACCTCATAACTTTTCACATAGCAAAGTGATTCCGTATGGGGAAGCAATCTGTAATATCAGTTCTACATAGGAAGGGATTCCAAGATTATTGTTAGGGTCAGATTAAAAAGATAACAAGAGAAGTGGCACCCAAAGGTATGGCCCTAGCAGTGAATGGAGTGGGCTAAGGATCATGAGGTCTCAAGTTCAATTCCTAGCGAAGGCAAAAACACACTAGGTTATTTTGTCTCATCTGTCCAAACCTCAGTGGTCATAATTACCCGGTACTGTGATGATGGCAGGTAGCAGTTACCCCATGGAATTAGTCAAAGTGTACACAAGAAAGTGGATAGCAGCTTGAGAACAAAAAAATCAGCAATACTCCTTAAAAAGGGTGCATCCTTAATAGTACAATTGAAATAGTTACTTATAGAAATTACAAGCATAGATTTCCCACACAAGAAAATACAGAAGGATTTGAATAATTTAAAGGAGATGGATGATAAAAGTGGATAATACAGAGAAACATGTTCTCATAATACCTGTATACAACATCATCTTGTTCATCACACAATACATTAACCCTCAGTTTCTCTGCCAAAGTAAGGTGAGACTAGGCTATCAACAAAAGTTCGACCTTCATAGCTAATATGATTTACATCAAGCAACAGATCCTTACACCAATTCTCTGTCATATTGTAGACAACCAATTCTTCATTAACATCCAATAAAACATCATCATCATCACCGATGGAACACAATAGTTTACCAAGACAAACATTCAAATTCGGATCTTTAATCTCAAATTTTGTCCAAGATTCCTTAACCCCATACTCTTTCATGATCCAAAATATAATTTTGTCCATTGATGGGGATAAATTGGTGGATATACAAAGATACCCTTTAAGAGCTGCAAGTTTACACATAAAGCAATAATCCTGAAGATCAGTAGGACCTGGTACCTCCGAGAATTTATCGACACTTAAATCGAAAGCAACAATTGCAGATGAATATTCAGGAATTCTATGAGTCAACCAATGCAAAGCCCCATTAACCAAAACCCCAGAAACACTGTCAGTATGTGAATGATCATAAGGAGAATTCTCAAGTTTCTCCCAAAGGCCCTTTCTCACATAGTAGATATCCACACAAGTGGCAATCCTAAATTGATTATAACAACAATACGAAAGAGCAACCACCTTATAGTCATCACTAACAACATTATACCCTAAACCATACATGTAACAGCTACCTTGCAGAGGAAGAACCAAATCAAAACTTGGAATTTGATGGTGTTTTAAGGTAGTGGGGTTGATCAAGAATTTCAAATTTTCTCTATCAACCACCAAGACCAATCCATTACATGAGCCAGCTACAGAAATCCAGTTATGTGAGAGCTGCTGAAAATTTACCTTTCTTGAAATGCCACCGATTTCTCCATTTTGGGGGATGTGGTGGTTAAACGTGATAGTGTGAAGTTCGTGCTGCCTAGTGATGATAATAAATTTCTCTTCTTGTGTATGGACGTGGAGGTTGAAGTGAAGTTTGATGAATTGTGGGTGTGAGAGAAAATTGCGCCAGTGCTTTGATACGCATCTACAACGCCCAATGGACTTTACAGGGAGGCGGTAGAGTATGTCAACTATGAGTTCTTCGGGTAGGAATTCAGTTTTGCTCATTGCCATACTTGGATTTGGATTTTGGAGGAGACACTCCTTGCCTATCTTTTACTAGGGTATTTTCTCTCTGTTTTTGCTCGACGTCTGACTTCAACAAAAATGGAGAAAGTGAAAGGGTTAGTTGGGTTAGTTGAGAAAATTGAGTAACATGTGACAAAGAAGTTCTCAATTAAAAAAAGAGTCAAAGTATCAAAAATAAACTTAAATTATCTTATTATTTTAGTTGGTGTATGTAATACTCTCTCTTTTAAGAAATCTTGTCACATAGATAAAAAATATTCCACCTTTGACAAAAGTTAAACAAATTGTTAGTATAAGTTATAAGTTAAAGATTAAGGGTGTGTTTGGTATGAAGGAAAATATTTTCTTGGAAAATAAGTGGATTTCTAACTTATTTTCTTATGTTTCGTCCGCGAATAGAAAATATTTTAGAGGAAAATGGTATATAAGAGCTATTTATGTAACAGTAAGGATATATTGAGCCACTTTTATAACGAGAATATATCAGCTCTAATTGTCAAAACTAAGGGATAGATCCGGTCATTTTTCCTTAATTAAATATATGACATTATATTTATTGATCTCAATTAAATTGATACCTTCCCATTCCCATCTCCCTCTCTCACATTTAAATAAATCTTAACCCTCAGTTTCTCTCTCTCTCTTTGCCTTATTTTTCTCTTCTAAAAAATTGTTCTTTGACTACTTCTTCGTAAATCCAGTTATTTCATTATTTTAGTTTCTTCCTATGATATTTGGTCAAAAGGAAAAAATATGCAAGAAAATACTGAAAATTCAATAACTTTGATACAAAATAAAGTTCAATGATTTTGCTAGATGAATTTCCAAAGTTGAGTGACCTTTAGAGATATTAACTCCTATAGTTGGTTACTGAACAATTCCATCATAAGCAAGTTAAGTGGTTCCCTTCAATGGGCGATAAAAATGCAATCTATGGTGCAGATTATGCCTTCTTCAACTATAAATTATAATTAGGAGAAGATTTTACCAGCAAAGGCAGTTGAATTCTAGTATAGCCTTTCTCTCTCACTCCCCCTCATCTCTTTCAATTAACACTGTATATTTTTCTTCAAGATGGAAGAACTATCATCACTCAACTCTATGAGAATGAAAGATTACCCTGTTGGCCAATACCAAAGTTCAGTTTGCAGTTGGTCTTACTTTGATGAAATGGAAAAGTGACTTCATATGGGGAAGCAGTCTGTAATATCAGTTCTCCATAGGAAGGAATTCCAAGATTATTGTTAGGGTCAGATTAAAAAGCAAGAGAAGTGGCACCCAAAGGTATGGCTCTAGCAGTGAATAGAGTGGGTTGAGGATCATGAGGTCTCAAGTTCAATTCCTAGCGGAGGTAAAAAACACACTAGGTTATTTTGTCTCATCTGTCCAAACCTTGGTGGACATAGTTACCTGGTACTAAGATGATGGCAGGTAGCAGTTACCCCGTGGAATTAGTCAAAGTGTAAGCAAGTTGACCCAAACACCACAGTTTTATCAAGAAAGGAAACAGCAAGAGAAGTGGGCAAAACCTCAGTTAGACAAGCACCACAGATCAACTACAGTTGTTATTAGAGGACCTAAATGCCAGTTGTTAAGGTGACAATGAAGAGCCTTCTTCCCAAAGACGAGTGAAAAGAACTTAAAATAGTATTAAGCAAGTGCCACTTTTGCGTCTGTTTTTGATGTTTTTGATTCCAGTTCATGTCAGTCCCCTGAGGTTTTCAAGTTAGGTATGTCCTTTCAGCTCATGAGTTGTAATATAACTTCGTTGTAAGATACTACATTTCTATCAATGCCATTTCAATTCAGAGAATTAACAAAACTGTGAATTCACAATTCTTTATGACGTTAAAATGCCAGTGAACCAAGACATGAAGAAGTGCAATGCAAAAGAACACCTTCTTTCTAGAGGCCTCATGCAACGAAAGATGAACAAATAACAGGTTGGACTAAGACGAAGCAAATTAATTCCATGCAAGCACCAAACAGTGTGAAATGGGAATTATGTGGCATTACAATAACTGATGTAAATACATGAAATGCTGTTGTTTACACTTTAGGCTACATGTTCATAGACTATATTTTCTAACATGATAGCAGCTTGAGAACAAAAAAATCAGCAATACTCCTTAAAAAGACAACTTTATCGGATAAAGGTGCATCCTTGATACTACTATTGAAATAGTTACTTATCGAAATTGCAAGCAAAGATTTCCTAGACAAAAGAAAATATGGAGGGCTTTGAATAATCTAAAGGAGACGGACGATAAAGGTGGATAATACAGAGGAACATGTTCCCGTAATACCTGTACACAACAAACATTAACTCTCAGTTTCGCTGCCAAAGTAAGGAGAGACAAGGCTATCCACAAAAGTTCGACCTTCATAGAATAAAGGCTTTACATCAATCAAGAGATCCTTACGCCGATTCTCTTTCATATTGTAGACAGCCAATTCTTCATCAGCATCCAATAAAACATCATCATCCCCAATGGAACACAAAAGTGTAGTTAGAGGAACATGTACTGTAATCTTAAATTTGGTCCAAGATTCCTTAACCCCATACTCCTTCATCATTCAAAATGTATCTGTGTCCAAATATGGGGATATATTGGTGGATATACAAAGACACCCTTTAAGAGGTGCAAGATTACACAGAAAGCAATGATTCTGAAGATCAGTAGGTCTTGGTACCTCAGAGAATTTATCAACACTTAAATCAAAAGCAGCAATTGTAGTTGAATTTTCAGAAGTAGTACGAGTCAGCCAATGCAAAGCCTCATTAACCAAAACCCCAGAACGAGGTTCAAAAGGTGAATGATCATAAGGAGAATTCTCAAGTTTCTCCCAAAGACCCTTTCTCACTGAGTACATATACACACAAGTGACAGTCTTATTTTTAACAGGATAAGAAAGAACAACCACCTTATAATCATCATTAACAACATCGTACCCTAAACCATACATGTAACAGGTTCGGTGCAGAGGAAGAAGCGAATCAAACATTGGAATTTGATGGTGTTTTAAGGTAGTGGGGTTGATCAAGAAATGTATTTTTTCTCTACCAACCATCAAAACCAATCCATTACATGAGCCAGCTACAGATTTCCAGTTGTGTGACAAGTGCTGAAAATTTACCTTTCTTGAAATGCCATGGATTTCTCCACCATTTTGGGGGATAAACGTGATAGTGTAAAGTTCGCGTTGCCAAGTGACGATAATGAGTTTCTCTTCTTGTGTATGGGCATGGAGGTTGAAGTGAAGTTTGATGAATTGTGGGTCTGACAGAAAATTGCGCCAGTGCTTTGAAGACACCTACATCGTCCAATGGACTTTACAAGGAGGCGGTAGAATATTTCACTAATGAGTTCTTCGGGTAGGAATTCAGCTTTGCTCATTGCCATACTTGGATTTTGGAGGAGACACTCCAATATGGTAGTTGCCTATCTTTTACTAGGGCATTTTCTCTCTCTCTGACTTCAAAGAAGATGGAGAAAGAAAATTGAGTAAATAATTTAAGGAAAAAAAAAAAGGTAAAGTGTCAAAAATATCACTAAATTATTCTATATTTTTTTTAGTTTCATACATAAATTATAAAAACAATTTATCTGAAAGCATCTAAAATTATTAAACTTGATAATCTGAAAACATGCATTCTAAAATCTCATAAATTTTGAGTCATGAAAGTTCTTATATACTTAGGATTCGTTTGGTAGACTGTATAAGAATAATGCAAAATATAGTGTATTAGTTATGCTTGCATTAGCTATGATGAGATTTTTTTATTCAATGTTTGGTTTGGTGTACTAAAAATATTATGTATTACATAAAAAATTTTAGAAAAAATATTTGTTTACAAAAATATCCTCCACAAATATAGTGGAAAGGATGTAAAAAAAGTTTTTGAGGGCAATTGTGTCTTTAATAGTGTTAATGCATGCATTAGAAATCATTGCATTACTAATGCATAGAAATAGATGATATTTGTAATACACTCTTCAATACACAATAGAGTGTATTACTAATACAAGCATTAGTTATGTATATGTTAGAAAAGTGTACCAAACAACATACTAATAATACATCAAGCTAATGCAAGCATTATGTTCATAAAATAACATTGAAACATGAAACTATAAGTAAGATCATGCAATTAACAACTAATCATGAAGAAGCATTGAAATTCAATAGAAATCCATGAAGATCATAAAACCCTAGGTTGTAGTAGTCATAAAACTTGAAATTATGAGGTTTCTTTGGGACTCAATAGGTCAGAGAATATCCATTGATGAAATCTGACATACTTGGAGTGAAGAACCCTAACTTGAATTTCTTAAATGGAGACTTGAAAATTTGAACCCTAGTTCTTGCTTGAGATGAAATTAAGTTAGAAAAAACTTGATTTGAGAGGGTTATGCGTGAATGGGGAGTTTTAGGCTGATAAAATTCCCCTTAATCTCACTTAAAATAAACTAAAATGACACAGCATAGGAATTAAAAGAGTGAAAAAGATCAAATCGTTCTTGAATTAAAAACTATTGAGGCCATCTATGGATGCCCTCCACAGACCTGTCACGACCCGATTTCTCAAGTCATGATGGCACCTACTATAACCCACCAGTAGGTAAGCCAACCCGTAACCCAGAACAACAAGTAATGGGTCTGAGGGTAGAAACTAAACAAGAGTAGGCAAATAACAATATAAACAGGCGGAAGCAAACCAAAAACATATATACAAATAAAGATCCCTCCCAGAACTTGGAAGTCACTAGTACAGAGCTACTAACAAAATGAGTACAAGTCCCAAAAGTGGACAACAGAGACTGGGCTGTCTCGAAAGGTAAAAGACAAGTCTATATATACAGATGGAGACTGAAATAGTACAAAACGTCGTGTGCTCACTCCCGTCTCCGGATCAGTCTGCTCCAAGCTCGATCAACGCTGGCTACTAGTGCCCGGACCTGCATCACGAAATAGATGCAGAGCGTAGCATGAGTACCAAAACAACAGGTACCCAGTAGGCATCATAGGCCGACTGAACTTGAAAAGTAAAGGCAATATGAAAAGAAGGAATAACACAAACCGAAGTCAAGAACTAAAATCTAACTAACAAGGGAATGCACACGAGTGTACAAAGAACTAACTAAAGTAATCTACAAGCTAACTACACCTAACTGGGCCCCCATAAGCCCAGAAGGTACACTCGTGCGCAAGTTAAATAAAAACCCGAACGGACCCCCATAAGCCCGACGAGTACACATAATAACTATAACTAAAGAGAATTGCATAAAAGAACCCATGAACGAAGAACATCGAACCAGAACCTCAACCCTAATTAGTAGAATCTGACAGTACGGAGGCCGGACCTCGAACCGGATGCTCACCAAAAGTACCTAAGTAACCAATCACAAGTAACAAGTATAAGAGGTCAGAACTCTAACCGGATGCTCTATATAAGTATCTGGGCGATAGAGGCCGGACCTTAAACCGGATGCTCTATATAAGTATCTGGGCGATAGAGGCCGGACCTTAAACCGGATGCTCTATATAAGTATCTGGGCGATAGAGGCCGGACCTTAAACCGGATGCTCTATATAAGTATCTGGGCGATAGAGGCCGGACCTTAAACCGGATGCTCTATATAAGTATCTGGGCGATAGAGGCCGGACCTTAAACCGGATGCTCTATATAAGTATCTGGGCGATAGAGGCCGGACCTTAAACCGGATGCTCTATATAAGTATCTGGGCGATAGAGGCCGGACCTTAAACCGGATGCTCTATATAAGTATCTGGGCGATAGAGGCCGGACCTTAAACCGGATGCTCTATATAAGTATCTGGGCGATAGAGGCCGGACCTTAAACCGGATGCTCTATATAAGTATCTGGGCGATAGAGGCCGGACCTTAAACCGGATGCTCTATATAAGTATCTGGGCGATAGAGGCCGGACCTTAAACCGGATGCTCTATATAAGTATCTGGGCGATAGAGGCCGGACCTTAAACCGGATGCTCTATATAAGTATCTGGGCGATAGAGGCCGGACCTTAAACCGGATGCTCTATATAAGTATCTGGGCGATAGAGGCCGGACCTTAAACCGGATGCTCTATATAAGTATCTGGGCGATAGAGGCCGGACCTTAAATCAGATGCTCTATATAAGTATCTGGGCAATAGAGGCCGGACCTTAAACCGGATGCTCTATATAAGTATCTGAGCAATAAAGGCCGGAACTCTAACCGGATGCTCTATAAAGGTGCCAATGTAACTGCTGAAAGAGCCCTAATTGATCCACACTCATAAATGTCCGTGGAACGCCGTCCATACTTAGCCAATCAATGTAAGTCCTTGGAACCAAATTGAAAATCAAATTCAAACCGCGAAGTAGAACTAGTGTCGCCGATGTAACTCGTGAAACCGTAACATCGGGGAAAATAAGGATAACTATAGTCGGAGAAAGAGTATCGCCTAACTAAGGCCCAAACTATCAGACTCAAGTCTGCTACACCAGTCTACAGGGATCTAAGCCGGCCGGGCGACGTCGAAGCAAAACTAAGGCCTATTGGATCCGAATAATGTATTTCTGAGGCAAACCCTAGTCAAACCTAAACTAAGGTCCAACATTCTTCGAATAAAAAATAATTAAGCATGCAAGCACTCCACATAGCGAGGAGGGTCCGTTAATAACACAAAGCATGCTCACAGTTACCCGATAATTCCCGAAATAGGCCGAAAACATGATTTCTTAACACCTATGTAGGATTCAATAACTACCCAACCCAAATCCCAACTAATCAACATGCATTCACATTCTCGAGCTCAATCTAAGAGAGGGAAAACCGTAGCCTACCTGTAGGCCAATCACACGAGCTCCAAAATAACTTCTCCGGAGCTTTCCCTTTCCGAACGTCCTCAAAACGCTGCCCCGCTATCAAAAATAGAATCATAACGTTATTACAGTCGTTTAGACACAAAAATCACAACAAACGGAGACAAATCAATTTTGGAGTCAAAACGGGAATCGTGGGACCCGCACCGAACTGTCCGAATTTGACTCCGTCAAGACACCCTAAACAGCACTCCAAACTTGTGGTCCAAAATGAAACACAATTTGGGGATCAAAACGCATCAACACCCAACAAGCAAGAAAACCACACTTATATCAACTTAAAAGAAAACATTGCAGCAGCCTAAACTTGAAATTAACGAGAATCAAAAAGTTCCCAGCACTCCTTAAGCACTCTACGACGAAGACACGATAATTTTCAACACATGGAACTTCGAATCACCCAATTCCGAGCTAAAATGAGTGAGATATGATCAAAACAATAATGCCAAAAACCACAGCTCGAAAAAGGGTTCTGCAGTCAGGTTAGACCGTAGAACAATCTACGGACCATGAAAGGGTCTGTAGAAAACAAAGGAAATTTTTGGGTGCCTGAAGGTCATTCTATGGGAGCTTTTACAATCCGTAGATCTATTTACGACTCGTACAAGTGCCCGTAAAAGATAGAGTCGCCTGATTTCTGAAGTATTTGTTTTACAGACTAATCTACAACCCGTGAAAGCTTCTATAGTTCGTAGAAGAGTACGTGAAACGCTTAGACAAATTTTCCAGTTTTGACTATGGTCTATGGAACCCATCATGGTCCGTGGTTCCTTACACGGCCCGTAAAAGGGTCTGTAAATCAGAAAATTGCAGACTTCAGTTCTTTCTGACTTATTCAAGGTCTGATCTGGACTTAAAAATTTATGAGGTGTTACAACACGAATTTCATGATGTCCCTCTTCATCTATGCTATCAATAATTCGTT